CCTTCAGTGTGTAGCTTCTCTTCTGGGGGCTTCTTAAGGCAGGGGTGGTGCCCGCTCCTTTGCTGCTGGGGTTGTAGCCTCAGGCCTAGCTAGGAGCGGGTGCTTAATTTCTGTGGGTTTCACTGAGCAGGAACCAAGCAGTTTGGCAGAACAGGCCAAGAGGCCCCCGTCTCTCTCTCTTTCTTTTTTGAGTGATAAATTCTTTTTATTACATAATTTGTAGTAGTCACGTTCTATCAACAAGGTCAACAGAAACTTGTAAATATTCTGCTACATAACACACCATACCTACATATTCCCAGCCTCCTAAACTCTGCCTGCAACCTCACCAAGCCCACAGGGAGTGACCCCACATTTGAGATGAGAAGTCCCCCAACCAAGGCTGATCTGTGGGTCTGAGGCCCACCTGAGCCTCGCCCCACGCCACTGGACCCCTTGTGCCCCACTCAGCATACCTCGGGGTCTCCAAACCACCACGCCTGATGTGCCCTGGCCATTTCCAGCTGGAAAAAGGCTTCTCCAAAACCTTGCTGCCTTTTGGTGCTTAGAGCTCCCCCCCCGCATCGCGTCATCTGAAACCCTGGGAGCTGGTTTCTGCTCCTCCCCTTCATCGCTTTGTGAAAATAAAAGCTGAGCTTTTGGAAGCCAATCAAGTCACACACTAGACAAGAGATTAAAGCCACAATGAACCAATTTAAACGCTTGCACATTCTAATATGCTTTTCAAACGAGGCGTTCAAAGGCAGGGAGAGGCTGCAGGGAGTGAATTAAATTGTTAGTAAAAAAAAATCAAAACCGCTCTGGAAGGAAAACAACACATTGGGAGACTGAGCTCTGAGCCCAGGTCCCAGAGGGCAGCCCACCCTGGGTCGCCCACTCCCTTCCCCGCAGCCCATGTCGTCCGTCTGGTGGCTGAGTCTGCCCAGGGCAGGGCCTGGGGAGGAAGGGGCTGGGGATGCCCAGATGCCCAGTTAACGCTTGTTGAATAACCAACTGGTGATTGAGAAGGAATGGCCAACAAACAGTTCAGTTAAGAAATTACTATTGTTTTTTTCTTAGAGTAATGACTGCCTCTTCTGGAAAATTCGCAGAGTGCTTAAGAGGAAAAATCAGGAAACAGAAAAACTTCCAACTGTAGTTCCACTAACCAGACAACCGTACTTAACCACGTGGCCTTCAAGGACCTCAGGCCAGGAAACGAGAGGCCTGAGGTCGCATGGGATGCGGCTTCAGCCACTTCTGCCCACACCTCTCTTTCCAGCGCAGTCCCAAGAGCATTGTAATGGCGAGAGGATCAGAGGTTTTCAGTGGCTGTTTTGCTTTGTTTTTTTATTTGTCATAGAGATGTGACTACCAAGGGTAAATTTTGTTGCATTTTTTGGCATTATCATTATAGCCTGAGAATTCTTCATCACAAATTCATCTCAAGCATCCTTTTTGTTGGCTGCACAGTATTCTGAAGTGCAAGTGTGTGATACTTTATTTCCTATTATTGGGCATTTGGGTTGTTTCTAGTTTCATTTTGTTTTGCCATTTTAACTAACGCTGTGGCTGGTTTTGGGCGCATCAAACTTTATAGCAATCCTGGGCTATTTCAACATTTGCAGAGGACTTACTCTGCACAAGGCATTGTGGGAGACTGGAGGATAAGCTGGATGCAGCCCCTCCACCTAAGGTGCAGATATAAATAACTTTAATCCAAAGTAGGTTATAGTTGCCATAAGCGGACAACTAGAGCTGGAATACAGAAGGGTTTGTCCTGGGCTTAATGGGATTCTAAGAAAGTTACAGGAGAAAATCTGAGACTTTGCATCCACAGCTAGAAGGTTAAGGGTAAGAGAGGAGGGACGGGACAGCAAAGGGGTTGGTTTAGCTGGGAGACCTATGCCAGGAGGCAGGCATCGCCAAAGGCAGCGTGTCTCATCTCAAAGGCTAAGTCAGTTGACTGCTGTTGGCACCCAGGAAGTAGGTGGTGCGTAGCTCAGTGCAAACACTTAGCAGTAACTGCCTGGACCCAGGTTGATGGAGAAGTAGTGACAAGACGCCAGGTTAATGGCGGTCCCCAGCCTGAGATGTTAATTTCAAGTGAGGCGCAGGGGCTGACATCAGCTTGGCTGATGCCAAATATTGTGTTTCTTAGGATCCATTTAGATCAAGATTCAGTATCCGTCACAGACATCTCAGACTGTGTGTTCTGGGACCCACTGTTGGAGAGATTTCAAACCAAAGAGACAGATGAGAGTTGCCCCTGAGTCCCAAGGTAGCGTCAGAGAGGAGCAGGGAAGTGAGACAAAGAGACTCTGCCAACCCAGCACCCTGGGCCGCTCTCCCTGCCCAGCGACCGGAGAGGCCAGACCTGTTTTCCTCGCTGCCCACTTCCAGTCCTTTGGCTCTTTGACAAACACGGTCGCCTCTGGCTGTGTCACCTAAGTCGGAGCATCAGAGCACCGGGAGTCCCCAGGCCAGGCTCCGCCACTCTCGCCGCCCCATCCGCCGGCCTGGGGCCTCTCCCCAGCCGCCACCCTACATTCTCGCCTGCCCGCCTGATCTCATGCTGTCCTGTCTTCAGCCCCCACAGGTGCCATGACTCAGCAGCCCCAGGAGGGCTTCGACAGGAGCGTGGAGGACGCCCGGGAGTGGATGAAGGCTGTGCAGGAGCGGCTGCAGGTCAATGACAACACCCAGGGGCCCCGTGCGGCCCTGGAGGCCAGGCTGCGGGAGACCGAGGTACGCACAGGCCTGGCTTTGAAAGCCCATGGCCTTGGCCGTGTCCCTCTCAGGCCTCAGGTTTCCCAGCTGTTGGAGTGCGGAAGTGGGCTAGACCAGTGTTTCTCAAACTTCGATGCCTTTGACTCTCCTGGGGCGTAAGTGCAGGTTCTGAGGCAGGAGGTGGGGGTGGGCCCGAGATGGGCATTTCTGACTCGCTCCCGGTGATGCCGCTGCTGTGCATCCCAGGACCGCACTTTTATATGAGGGTCTAGAGCCCGCCCTCGACTCTCCCATCCTGGAAGCCACCCTGCAGCCAAGTGGGTGCCCATCCCCAGCTGGCCCAGGCCCTGCTTCCTGCCCCTCTTCTGCTTCCGTGTGGCTGAGGTCCCTGCCCTGGCTTTTCCAGGACTGGAGTCTGGCTCTGCCCACGCCTGGCCCAGGGCAGAGGCTCAGTGCCACCCTGACCAGATGGACTGGTGCCTGGTGCCGCATCGTGGTGCCCTGTCTGAGGGCATCTGTCCAGGGAGGAGCAAGGGGGAATGAGCACGGGACTAAGAGTCAGAGACCTGGGCTATAGTTTGCGTGCTGATGCTCAAGTGCTGTGTGACCTCAGGCAAGTCCCTGTCCCTCTCCGGGCCTCGGTTTCCCATCTGTGAGTAAAGCAGCTGACTTTAGGTCTTTCTTGGGTCATATGTATTGGGATAGTCCACGATTCTTATTTCTCACCTCAGAATGGTTGCTTTATTTAAGGGGAGCCTTACCTTCTCCTGCAAAACTGACCCCCTGACAGGCTAAAAGCAGAGTTGACCACACACCCAGTCCCCTGTGTGTGTGTATGTGTGTAGTTTTTTGCTTTTTGAGCTGTCTTATTGATTTTGCACTTTTTATGTGTGTTTTGGGGGGGTAATTTGATTGATTGATGGATGGATGGATGGATGGATGGATGGATGGATGGAGGTCTGGGGATTGAACCCAGGATGTCGTGCGTGCTAACCACATGCTCTACCACTGAGCTGTATCCTCACCACCACTGATTTGCACATGTCATTGAAAATAGCGAATGTTCTTTTTAGAAACGACAGTTAAACTTAGGAATTTATGTCACCTTTTCAGGGCCAATGGTTTAAGTGTCACCACACATTATGAGGGCGGATCCATGGTCTGCATATTACAAATGGAGAAACTGAGTCTTGGAGTGGTCATGTGACTTGTCCAAGTTGAAAAGTTCTCTGGGTAGGACATTCCACCCTGGAACCCCCGGCTTCTGACGTCTAATCAGATGAGTGTCAGCTTCCCTGATGTCATGTGCATCTGTAAGAGTGTGCCTGCCAGGGTCAGGGAGCCAGGTGTTCTGGTTTCTCGGGCATCCTGTTTAGTAGAACAGCCCACTGGACTAGAGAGAGGCTTTGGAGTCTGGACATCCTGGGTTCAAATTCCACCTCTGCTTCCTCCTGGCCGTGTGACCCTGCTGGGCCTCCATTTGCTTCCCTTCTAGAGTGGGTGATGCTGATAATTTCAGGATGCTGACTTGAGGTGGGTGGGGCTCCCAGCGAGTGCTCCGTTAGGGGTGGCTTTGTTGCTGATGGGTATTAGTGGAGAGAAAGGCCTGTGAACCCAAGGCTAAGTCCAGAGCTTCACCATCCATCCCCATGGGGCGGGCAGCAGAGCACATGAAACACACCCTATGCCTGGGTTCACAGCATAATAGGGACAGGTAGGCACATAATTCAGGCAGCCACGTGAGTATGGATGAGACACATCCCTAACATGGGTCTCAGGATGTTACTCTCCTCCTCTAAAACCGTCCATCGCTCCCTGTTGCCCACCAGAGAAAACTCAGCTTCATCTGACATCAAAAGTCCCCCATTACCTACCTATGTGACCCTGTTCTCCAGCTTCGGCTTCCCCCGCCATCCCACCTCCCAAACACATCCTCTGCTGTCAACAGGAAACCTCCTAGATTTCCTAACACTGAGCTTTTGTGCTCGCCGTTGCCTCTACTTGGAATGCCCTTGCCCTTTCGTTTGGGTCTGGGTGTGCATGTGAAATGACATGCCCCCTCATCCACGTGTCTTTCCGTAGCCCCTCCCCGCAGCCCCAGACCCAGCTTCTGGAACTCACAGCCCTGCACGGCATTCCCTGTCTTAGAGTGCGAATCCCTTTGGACACTATGCTATTTGCTGGCAGACCATTACCCCCTGGCTGTGAGTCTGGCTTAGGCCAAGGCAAGAGTGGTCTTTAGAAGAGCCGTTGGAGCCCAGGTAGAGGGAGCCATGCCCTGGGTGCCCCGCCACCGTGCTCTCCCGCGGGGCTCAGACACTCACACACTCATCTGTGTGCTTTGACATTGCCAGTCCAATTTCACAATAAGAAAGAAAACATGTC